GCTTTTGTGGTGTTCATTCTAGGCTGTGGGGAGAAATTTTGAGTATTGTGGGTGAACACTTTTTGTATTATATTGTTTTTTGATTATGCTTTTATGACATTTATTGCATGTATATTGTGCTGATTATTATTTATATTGGGGGTTCTACCTTTTATGGCCTCTATTTCTTTATGTAACTTATTTCAAGGCTGCTTTTTGTAGTGAAAAGAGACAGATAGATAGTTGTAGCAGTAATTGTACTAAACACTCCAATAGAGCTTGTTGAGAATAGAATAGGAAGTAACTTCTCTTTCGAGGGAGAAGAGTTGGTGGTTTGTGAAATTTGCCTGAGCTCACACAAGTTTCCAGAAGAGACGTTTTAAGCAAAAGGCAGAATGTTCCTCTCTGTATAGGGTTTAACCATTCAAATTGTCATGACCCAGTGACAAAGAGTTCTTTATAAAAATGATGACTGACCTTCATATTTCATTAATATGAAATGAAAGGGTGGGACGTATCCCTCTCTCAACTGTGTCCGCCCAGGTATCTGGTTCAGCACCAGCCATGCCCGGGGGTGGGGGGAGGAGAGGGGTGTCGCTTTAATTCATCGAGCTTCTCTTTCCCTTGTGGGGCTTCCTGTCCTCTTGAGACCGGGTCTAGAGTGCCTCTACCTGGCGCTGGGCGACTGAGACAGACTGGGGATTCTGCTGGTGTACCATGCACCCTTCTGCCCATCAGACTCCCTGCCTGAGCTGACAGAGATCATCTCGGACCTGGTGTTGAAGACTCCCAGGATGCTGGTCCTGGGGGACTTCATTCTCCATGCCAAGACTGTTCTGACCAGGGTGGCTCAGGACTTCATGGCCTCCATGACGGCCATGGGGCTGTCTCAACATGTCATTGGCCCGACCCATGAACGTGGACACACACTGGACATGGTTTTCTCGACGGGGCACGAAGAGGGTGAACTGAGGGTGAGGAATTTGTGTCTGACTCCCCTGTCATGGTCAGACCACTTCCTCTTGAGGTTCGAGCTCCATGGCAGACTTCCCCTCTGTAAGGGTGTGGACCCTATTGTGTTGGTCTGCCCTCGGAGCCGGATGGATTCCTGAAAGCTCTGGGGGAATTTCCGGTTGATAAAGCTGGCGCTCCTGTTGATGCTCTGGTTGAACTGTGGAATGGCCAGAGCTATTGACACGATCTCTCCTAAGCATCCTCTCCTGCTGGGCAGAGCCCGTTCATCCCCTTGGTATACACCTGAATTATGTGTGATGAAGCAGTTTGGGGGATGGCTAGAGTGTAGGTGGAGGAAATCTCAGGATGAATCTGACTGAACACACTTAAGAGCTCATTATCAAGCTTATGCTGTGGCAGTGAGGGCGGTGAAGAAGAAATTCTTCTCCACTTCCATTGCCTCCTCACAGTGCTGTCCAGCGGAACTTTTTCGGGTGATGCAGGGGCTGGTATATCCAGGCCCTAAGAAAGATCCTGTACCACCCTTGATAACCTGCTGTGACGACTTTGCCCAACACTTCAAGGAGAAAGTCGCTCAGATTCGTCACGAGCTGGACTCCACTAGTGACTCAGATTCCTCAGGGGAGGTGCCAATATTACCATCTGGTCACATATTGTTGGATGAGTTTCAGTTATTGTGGCCTGATGATGTGGACAAGGTGCTTGGACAAGTATGTATCACCACCTGTTTACTGGACCCTTGCCCATCGTGGCTACTCTCCAAAGCCAAACACGGGATTGGTGCCTGGATCCTGGAGGTCATCAACGCCTCTCTGAGGGACAGCTGGGTGCCTGCCCCTCTAAAGGAGGCGGTGGTCAGGCCGGTCCTAAAGAAGGTGTCCCTGGATCCAGAGTTGGCCACCAATTATACACCAGTGGCCAACATCCTGTTTTTGGGCAAGGTGTTGGAACGGGTGGTGGCGGGACAACCCCAAGCTCTCTTGGATGAGACTGATTATCTGGACCCATTTCAGTCCAGCTTCAGACCCGGGTATGGTACTGAATGTGCCTTGGTTGCCCTGTATGATGACCTGTGCAGGGAGAGAGACGGGGAGTGCGTCCCTGTTGGTTCTCCTGGACCTCTCAGCAGCTTTCGGTATTGTCGACCATGGTATCCTTCTGGATAGGCTAAGGGGGCTGGGACTAGGAGACACTGCTTGGCAGTGGTTCCTCTCCTACCTCGATGGCCGATTCCAGAAGGTGGTGCGGGGGGACTTTACCTCTGCGCCATGGCAGTTATGCCATGGAGTACCACAAGAGTCCATTCTGTCCCCCTTGCTATTTAACATTTACATGAAACCACTGGGAGAGGTCATCCAGAGGTGTGAGCTGCAGAATCATCAGTACGCTGATGATACCCAGCTCTAAGTCTCTTTTTCAACCGATCCAGGTGAGGCAGTGGCTGTACTGAACTGGTGCCTGGCGAGTTAATGGGCTGGATGAGGGCCAATAAACTGAAGCTCAATCCAGACAAGATGGAGGTCCTGCTGGTGGGAGGTTCAAGCCCCTGGGTAGGTGACTTGGATCTTGTCCTGAATGGGGTTGCACTCCCTCTAAAGGACAGGGTCTGCAGCTTGGGAGTGCTCCTCGACCCGGAGCTGTCTTTGGAAGCTCAAGTGATGGCGGTGGCGAGGAGCACTTTCCATCAGCTTTGGCTAATCCATCAGCTGCGACCCTACCTGGAGAACAATTGCCTGGCGACAGTGACACATGCATTGGTCACTTCCCGGTTGGATTTCTGTAACTCGCTCTACGTGGGGCTGACGTTGAAGACAGTTCAGACACTTCAGATGGTGCAAAATAGAGCTTCCAGGTTGTTGACAGGGACTGGGCGTTATTCTCATATAACCCCAGTCCTCTACCAGCTTCACTGGCTTCCCATCGGAGTCTGGGCTCAATTCAAGGTGTTGGTTATCACCTATAAAGCCCTTAATGGCTTGGGACCTGGATACCTAAAGGAACGCCTGCTTCCATATTTGCCCTCCCGCCCCTTGAGATCGGCAGCAGATGCCCTCCTCCGGGAGAGACATTAGGAAGCAAAGTACCCAGAGGAGGGCTTTCTCTGCGGTGGCGCCCCATCTGTGGAATGTGCTCTGTGGAGGTCCGCCTGGCACCGTCGTTATTTGTTTTTCAGCGCTAGGCTAAGACATTTTTATTCATACAATATTTTAACAACATTTAGTATTTATAGGTTTTAATTGGGCAGTCGGGGTGTTTCCAGGTTTTAACTGTATTTGTTTTATATTTATTTATTCATGTGAGCCATCCCGAGACTATATAGCAAGGGGACGGCATACAAAAACTCTAAATAAATAAATAATAAATAAATAATGCATTCAACTGCTTTTGAGGGTTTGTGGATCACTGACAGTTTAACTAATAAAAGCATATTCCATAGTTTCCCCAAGCCATATTGTATAAACGGTATCTCTTTTCAGTAATGAGCGCAAACCTGTTTAGCAAAGATCACTGCATTTAATACTTCCTCATATTTCTTTCTGGGGATTATATCTGGTACAAAATTAAAAAGTCAAAGAAAGAGGTTCTATTGCTATCTTAAAATAGGTAAAGGACAGTGCTGTTTCAGCAATCACTTTTCAGTGTGCTCCACAACATGTCTGCTACATGTGGGGGGAAATTGCTGTTTTCCACATAGTACCAACAGCTATATATACCTGGGTGCAGTTGCTGAATATTAGTTGAATTCAAGCAATTGAGAAAGGAGTGGTCTCTAAATGTTGACCACTCCACATTTAAACTAAACATTTAAACATCTAAACTGGGATGTTTCCAGTTTTTTATGTATTTGTATAGCTATTTATTTGTATTGGAAGCCGCCCTGAGGCTTTTGCGAACGGGGTGGCATATAAGTATTCTAGATAGATAGATAGATAGATAGATAGATAGATAGATAGTTCCCCTGTTTGCTGGATCAGCTGGAAATTCTCAAAATACCAAGTGGCCAAAGTCACAAGAGCACTGGGTGCATGTCTGCAGGGAGTTTACAGCACTCAAATCACAGGATCTGAAGCCCAGCTTTCCAGTATGTTTGAAATGAGGGCTTGTAATTGGCTCTTCTCCTTCAGTTTGGTGGAGAGAGAAAAGACAGGATTGCTTTGGGGCACCACCATAATTGGCTGGTCTTGAAAGAAAGGGGTATGGAGGGTAATGGGCCATGCTTCCTTCCTGATTGATTTGCTACAATGTGACACAAAGGCTACAGCAGTGAGGATTGCTCCAGAATTAATTGGCGAGTAGAAGCGGAATTAGGGCCTGTGATCTTTGCCTTAGTTCTAGACTTAATGGTGAAAGGCTGCTTGGACACCTGTCCTTCATAATCCACACAACCACCACATTTTTTTCAATGGCCACCAACCCCAATGCAAAAATTCTGTGTAAGGAGAGTTCTGTAGCAGCTTAGACAAACAGACTTTTTGTGCCATCAACTTTTTTGAACAAGGACCGACTATCCTCCATGTAATCTTCAAAAGTCAACTATTTTGTTTCAAAACTGACTTGAACATGGAGCACTCAGAGCTGTAAATTTCTAGCATGCGCACACAAATCTATGAAAATCAGTTTGAGTTCTGCGTTGTGATCTCTGTGCATCACACGTATGGGCTGTGTGCACATGCGTGCAGCTCCTTCAGGAAGATTCCAAAGCTGATTAATTAGTATTCAGTGGGAGTGCCTCTCTTAGCCATGCTCCACATGCAGGGAGTAGTGCAAACTGAAATGTTTGTGATATTAAAATGCAGGATTTGGGTTACTCCTGTGTTCACTGAGAGCATCCGTTCAAGCATCTCAATTAAATAGTTTAATACCGGAACATGTAGAGGGTCTTGGTGCATCGTAGCTTTGCTGTGGCAGCAGGCAAAGCTTGCTGTGTTAGTATCTTCATATGCAGAATCTGGCTGATGTTAATGTAGGTTTTGATCAGTAGATACAGAAATATGTGAAATATAGAAGCTGATCTAATGATCTCTTGTTCTTGTAATCTGTTACAGTGACAGCTATATTGTGAGAGTCAAAGCTGTGGTTATGACCCGAGATGACTCCAGTGGAGGATGGTTACCCCAAGAAGGAGGCGGTGTTAGTAGAGTTGGTGTCTGCAAGGTCATGTGCCCAGAGGGCAATGGAAGAAGTGGGTTTTTGATCCATGGAGAACGGCAGAAAGACAAACTGGTAATTTAACCTAATTCCCTACCCACTCTTACTTCGTTCCACACCTGCAAATGTGCAGCAGCAACAGCAACACACTTTCTTAACACAAGACCATGCATGGCTGTTTTTGCAAAACCCCTTCCCCTCAGTTCCTAGGAACATTATCTATTGTCTCTCCAAAATAGCAGCTGTGCATTAATGTTTAAAATCTCCTTTTTTATCGTTAACACTTTACTTGAAATGAAACAGACCTGTTTTCCCTCGAAAATTCTGCAGCTTAGCAGATTGAAGTATAAAGAATCGACAAAGCCAGTCACGTTGCACTGAGTAATTCAAGCTTTTAAAATGGCAATGAATTATTTATGCCTCCTTCTGTTTGAGGTGGTGGCTGGGGGAGCAAAATGGCAAGGGCGATTTGTCTTGCAGATTGACACTTCGCTCCTTGCTATAGGGGTTTATGGACCAAGAGTTCCTGCTTTTCTGCACAAACTGAACTGGGAAATGGGGAGGAGGGTGTTTTCTTTTAATTAGGAGCTTAAAAAACCCAACTACCTGCCAGGGAAGATTCTACCCACAGGTTTACCCCAACCAGGGATAATCCTGAGATGGCCAGCTGATGGTCTGTGAGCCTGATCCCACCAGATTTAGGTGAATGTACGGTATGCTGAAGGGACCATGGTTCAGAGATGTTATAGGTCCAGACTTTATTGGTGATGTCTGGGATTTGAGTGCTACAAGTGAATATAGGAAGCTGGCCTACACTAAGTTGAACCATCTGTGCCTCTAGCCCAGGGGTGTCCATCAGTGGCTCTCCAGGTTTTCAAGCAGGGTTCTTTTCCAGCCCTGCCTGGAGATGGCTGGGGTCAACTCTTCAAGCTTCAGCATGCAAAGCACATCCTCTGCCACTGTGACAGTGTGGAGCTCTTCTGGTTAGACACCCGGCCAGTGAGCCATGCCGCCTCCCCCCCAAAAAATCCCTCTGTTCCAACCCCCTCCTAGCAAAGAGTCAGGACTTTTTCTCCCATAGATGTTCAAGAGTTCTGCAGCCGTGAAAGATACACATACCTCGCTGCTTTCTTCTTTTGTTTTTCTTTTTCCTTTGTATGTCCTTGGGGTACCAGTCTTATTCATGAACTCCTCCTCCTGCATATAGGATGCTGTTCTGGTCCTATAAGGACCAGCACTTAGAGAATAAGTTTTCTGTTCATGCATGTGACCTGGCTATATCCAGACACACATGCTCCATAAGCCTGAACTGCTTACTGCCAGCCTCGTTATACAACCTGACCTTCTGAGGGTTGAATTGTGAACGAGAGTGCTCCCTGGACCACAGCTTGCTGAATGCATGACCAGTGAGAGTACCGGAATTAGCTTCCCCTACTCTGGCCCACAGGATTTAAACCTAAACATACACCTTAAGCAGAAACAGTCCTGGTTACATTATTTATTGCATTGGTGTCTTGCCCTTCCCCCAAAGAAGAACCGCGTACAAGGGCACACACCATTTAATCCTGCAAATAACCCTTCGAGGTGGGTTAGGCTAAGCCAAGCTTGCCAAGTAATAGTTCCGAGTGGGGATCTGGATGCCATCCAAGGTCAACATGTGTTCTCTACATGTCTCCAGTTGAGAGGAGAAGAAGATTCAAGGGCTGTAGCTACAGGAGAAAGCAAAAGACAGTGGTGTGGAGTGGGGTCATGTGGCTGCATCTGTATATATTAGATTTTATTATGCAGAAAGAGAAAACCACATGCTCTGATGAATGCAGTAGCTCTGGTTTTTTATATTTGTGTAGAAGAACAGTATACATTTTTCAGAGGGATTTGAACACCTAAGAGAAGCCAAGCACTGGGTGGAACAGATAGGAAATCGCAGTCTATATTTTAAGAATATGTGGTGTTCCTTTAGCAAGTGAGCAGGAAATGTTTAAAGTATTTTGGTTTTAGTCACTGGCTGTGTTCTCTGACCTCTTGTGTGGGGAGAGGCTTCCCAAAAGCAGTTGCAAAGTGAGCAGGCATAAATGGCTCGGGGTGGCGGGGTTGAGTGTGCCAGAGGAAATAGTGCATCATATTAACAGGCCGTGCTCTTCACTTGTGCACCTCATTTTACACTCTTGCACTTTCAACCCCAGGTGGTGCTGGAATGCTACGTGAAGAAAGACTTGGTCTACACTAAGGCAAATCCTACATTTCACCACTGGAAAGTTGACAATAGAAAATTTGGGCTCAGTTTTCTAAGCCCTGCTGATGCACGAGCATTTGACAGAGGTGTGAGGAAAGCCATTGAGGATCTCATGGAAGGTACTGAATAGCATTCAACAATTCTTACTTATGTTACCAAGTAGTCTTCTGGGGTCTTCTTTTTTTCCACAACTTGAAAATTGAACTTCACACATCTTTCACTGCGGAGTATGCAAGTTGTTGCCCTCCAGATGTTTTGGACTACAACTTCTGTAAGCCCCAGCCAGCATGGCCATAGGGTTTATGAGAATTGTAGGCCAGAACATCTGGAGGGTTACCTCCAGTTGTCTTACTCGTTCCCTAGAATAAGCTGCTGCTCAAATCAGAATCTCAGTCTTTGCAGTTGATTAGGGAGAATGTGATTCAGCTTTCAGGCATCGGTAACATCTTGCAACATTTGCATCAGTAGCTAGTCCACTCAGGGTTCATGCGTGGCACAACAGTTCACCATGCATTGTTTAACCCACACCGAGGCTGTGGCACATGCATGGTGCATGCAGCCACCATTTTGAATATGCAGCCCCTGGGTTATGTGAACACAACCCTCACTTAACCCACACTAGTCTAGTTCACATAACATAACAACTCCACACAAGTATGTAATCTGGAGCCACAGGCACTGTGGCTTGTCCAAACCAGGTCATGGACTTGCATAGAGTTTTGAAGAAGGTGTAAAACTTTTTTCATCTGCTTTTTGTGTCTTCTGTCTTAACTGTCATTTGTCTTGAAGTTATTTGAGATGTTATACTCCCAGTTGAGGCTATTAAATTTTTTGAGAACTGGCCTGTGGTGTTTTTTTGTTGCTGTTTCTTTTTTTAGTTTTTCTTCATACTGCTAGGGTGGGGGAGGGATCCAAATTAAATTTCTAATTCTTAAAGCAGCTTTCTTGGTCAATTTCCCAACCTATCAAGGATGACTATTCATTTTCAGCGGAGGGTGGGGGAGTTACCTCTTCCTTTAACGTTTTAAAAGCTCTGTTTTGGATCTCATCAAGAATATTTGGATACTATTAATTGCTTCTGTAAAAACAAGAAGTGTAGGATATTGTCCAGAAGAACATATTGGTCTGGTCTAAACATGCAGCTGGGTTCCTTGTTTGGGCTTTTCCCCCAGTGCGCAGCCCCCTTCTGTCACCAGTTGACTTTTGAAATGTGGGCAAGCTTAAAATGTGGCCTGTGGGATGGGCTGCAGTGCCAGAAAGGAAGTAAGCCCCCATATGTACTGAGCACTCCTTTCATCTGTGTAAATAGCCTTGCTGGATTGTGATGGCAATGTAGAGGAATGGCACACATTTTAAACTATCTTTCCAGGATCTACGACTTCATCCTCAACAATCCACAATGAGACTGAAGTTGGAGATGACGATGTCTTTACGGTAAGTACTTCTCACTATAGATTGCTTTTCCTGCCCTGGCTGGCCTTGTTCTTTTTTCTTTTTTTATGAAAGATGCTGCTGTGTTTGACTCTGAAGATCCTCTTGCAGAGCTGTATGTGATCATTTCCTGCCTCATTTTGGTAAAATCATACTCAAAATCTTGAAATCGTGTTTACCAAATAAAGATGCTTACCATAAATGAAGCACAGCAATGTCATAGTTATATAAAAATATGCTGGCAAACAGCAAAATGTAATCTATCGGCACAGGCTCAAAAATCATGCTTATTTAAAACAGTCGTGGTAGAGGTTGTGCTTTACAAACTTCCCTTGGAGGCTTTTATGTTTAAGGCACTGCAGCTGAACCACCACACTATATTCCCACCAACCATACTTTTCTTACTGAAGAGACCTCAGAAACTTGAGCGACTTCATATGGAAAAAAGCAGGTCCTGAGAGACTGTTGTGACTTAAGGTCAAAGCCAGCACTGTGACTTGAGCCTGAGAACAAAGCTGGAGCAAAACTGGAATAATATGGAATGTCTTGTTGACCCCTGAACAAATCTGAGCCAGCTGATGTTTCTGCACTGTCTTTAAGTGCAGTCTCATGCATGCTACATTCACCAAATGAAGTCAGATTTGATTTCTCAAGGAAAAGGTGCAGCTGGGAAACCAGATGCAGTTCATAAAAGGCACCACTGATCACCCCTTCACATAAACATCTGTAACCAGGAGGAGATGCCATATCTGTGCTCTCTTTTCCCACCCTTCCAACTCTAAAGCTTTTGCTTCAGGGAGTGGACAACTTATCAAAACCACCCTGAAGGTATTCCAAAAGCAGCAAGTCCTCCAACCAGTAGCATCTCTGGATTTCAATTGAGAATTGTTCCCTGATACCAGTTTAGGGCTTCCGCTTCCTCTCTAAGATCAAATGGAAATAAGAGGGAGCAGGAGAGATGTAATCAGCGTACTGATGATATTCCAGTCATTACAGCCCCCTTAAGAGAAATCAAGGGCTCGCCGTTCTTCACTGAGGCATTCATCATCTCCTTGACTCAGCCTTTTACTTCAGTCCTGGCAGAGTTAATAACCCATAATAGCAAAGGGCTCAAATGATCTTGCCCATTTCCTCATGTCTCACAAATGGAACAGTGACCAGGCTGAGCTTCAGTGACTGCCAGAACAGTTTTTGTTACAATGATTTATACGAGTGATTGATTATTAGGGGCTTTGAACCTAGGCTTTCTGTGGTGCTTTGAAAATGGCTCCAAATGAAGTTTATGCAGATCATGTGCATTTTGTCTTTGAATGTTACGTTTATCCCATCTTTCCTCCAGACCTCAAAGCAGCCAGCAAAGCATGTCTCATTCATGCCCTGGCCTAAGGCTGTCATCGAACCATTCAACGTTTCCACAGAGCATAGTTTCTCTTAAAGCAGAATCTTCCCAGTTGTTCTTTCTTACAATTTGTTGAGCATTTGGCACAACCCCTCCAGTGTCCTGCTATACTAAGTATGTGCAAATGAAACAATTACAGTTGTTTTCCCTGTGTTTATTCACTGCTGTTTTAATAGATTTATTGCCTGTTTTTCTGGGCAAAACCTTGTGTTGAATTGCCAATTGTAAGTTCTGGGGGTGGGGGCAGTTAGGGCTTATAATATAAATTACCATCATAGCCATTGTATTGCTAAGTGGCTGACATAAACAGAAATTTGCTCTTCTATGTTTGCTTTTCATTTCTTCATGTACAAAATTTGAATGCTTACATTGGCATGGCATGTCTGTGAGCAAGAAAGTTTTTGTGTGACCAGCTGGTCACAACTGGGCTATTACTTGATTGAAAAAATCTGTGTGTTATTACATAAGAGAAAGAGGGGCATAGTGGAAATAGATGCAGCTTTGTGGGGTGGGTTTCTTTAATAAAGAGCATGGAATTGAAATGGTGACACGACATTCTTTGACTTCTCTGTTTAAAGAGAGAACTGTATCTATCTCAGTTATTTCTCATGGAGTTTCTCTCTCTCTCTCTCCCTTCTTTCTTTTTCTCTGCATAAGAAGCTGGCGGAAATGCTAAAGGGAAAAACATTTCCAGTCAAATCTTTGGAACCAAGGGAACAAACATCCTCAACCTGAAAGGTTTAGCAGTATTGTTGTGGATTGGAGATGGGTTTCCTGTAGCAGTTGTGACCAGATCCTCTGTGACAGTTGGCATGTTGTTTTCATCTGTTCTCTTGTCATAGTTATAAGACAAACAACAGCAGGCAGGGTTAAAAGGTGACTTCCTCTCCTCCAGAGCAGAACTATCATTAGCAGCTGCTTCCCAGCTACCTGCCAGAAATGATTTATGGATTCGGTGATGGAGAGGGAAAGAGGAAGGGGGACGGGAGCTGTGCTCTTCTATAGCAGCTGCCCAAAACCTTGCCATGTGAGTGTCTCCATATGTACTTCTGTACAGATGTATGTCCATGGCCGTATTGCATTTGTCCTGCAAAGCGTACACAGAAAACAAGTGGCAATGTGTGTGCGGCACTGGCATTGCCTTAATAATCTATTAATCTATCTAATCTTTCTAGGGCAGCCCCAGAATAGAAAGGGTGGCTCATCTATTGCTGCTTGTAGGAGTGTTAAAGCACATCAGCCTTTGCATCCTGTTGAATTCCATGGAAAAGTTAATGCTGTGCTTTGCCCTCCCCCCTCAAAGGAACTAGAAGAGCTTAACTGCGGCTGAATTATGCCCTTTGTGTTTCCAGTGATCAAGCTTCCCTTTAGGGGGCTTCTCTGCTCTGGAATGCAAAGTTACCTTAACTCCAGAGCCTCATTAGGATCCATAAATGTTTTCCATATGCTTGAAAATAAATTTCTCCAGTCTCTTCATACTGAATGCTTGCTTTTCTCTAGAGGCAACCTGAGTAAAGCCAGTTGCTCCTTTTGCCTGTACTGGCTTGCCAGTAATGTGAAACTGTGCTTTGCCTCCATTTAATTAATCCACTTTCTTCACTCAGATGTCTCCCCTTTGGATAAACACTAGTCTGTTGAGCAGGACCACTGAGTCATGATGTCATGCATTCTTGTCATCAACAGCCGCTTACTCTGTGCAACTAACTATTAAGGAGGAGCAGGACATGAGGTTGCAACTGCCGCAGATGCATTGCATGGTTTATTGCAATCTGACAATGAACAGTTAATCTTGTCAAAACATTCTTATGCAAAAACCCTCCCAAGATGACCAGCCAGGAATCGATTTCTGGGAGCTAAGAAAAATGGACAGTACAGAACATCATGCTGTCAATGAATAGGCAGGTGCTGATTTAGAGATGCTTGTATACCTTTCTTGCCTTTCGGAAGGCTCTGCCTTCTCAAGGGATAAAATGTTAGGTCATGAAAACAGTGCAAAGAGTGGAAAGAGTCAAAAAAGTGGATGCACCAAGAGAACTAGTGTTGTAAACTAATGCTGTATCTGCTTGAAAAGTGACTTCTGCTCTGCAGTAAAACAAAAGGTCTTTAAAATAGACTTTTGCAACTCTAGTGTCAAACATATATTTACTAAGTTTTGCATCTCTATCCAATTGTTATTTTAAGTATGAAGTTTTTTTAAAAAAGAACTTCTCCAGTCTCCATGAATATTCTGCACATTTATCCACTAGACCATTATATTCTTGCTCCACAACTATACTGGGAATAGCTGCCAAGGAATACTATGAACAAACACAGATCTGTTCTTAACATCTATAACAGACCCCAGTTCCTAAAGCAGCACAGCTAAAGAAAGCCCTTTTTCAGATCTTGGCATGGGGTCCAGAGTACGGTGCAGTAGACATCAAAATAATGACCAGTTTTACACAATCAGAGCAAGCCACCATGGCTACTCTGCAGCCATCTAGACTCAGTGCCAAGAACTGGAAAATATCTTTCTTCAAATGTGAAGCTTTAAAACAGGGGTCTGGTATAAATGTTAACAACAGATCTGTGATTCCTTTCAGCATATCCCTTGGCAGCTCTTCCCAGTATGGTTGTTTAAGCCACTGTGGCTTCTTTTAATCCCAGCATATGTTAGACATCATTTCCTTAATTACCCATCTTGGTGTAGCTTATTGTGTCATCTGAACTTAAGTGGCATTATTTGAGGGGGAAGCAACCGTCAAATATTCCACTGTCTGTTGTAGGATTATTAAAGTCAGCGTGACTTGTCTCATCATGCAAAATGGCTCAGTCTATGGACCATTCAGTATCACGTTTGTAATCTCAAACCTTGGGCTCTACCAAGCATGGGTAGATGTTTCCATCTTCCTGCCCTCTTAGCAGTGTCATTACCCGTCCTCCAAACGTGGGTAGTCATAGGACATGCGCATCCGCAAGAGCTGGAGTCCTCTCTGCTGGTTGCAGCACATGATCCTCTCTGAGTCAAGGACCAGTCAGGAGCTTAATGACTTGGCAGCATGAAGCACGCAGCCGCCGTTTGTCATTCAGTGATGTGAAAAGGGTGGACAGGGGAAAGCACAAAATGGTTTCTGTTACTTGATTTCCTGCTTTGTTCATTGCCGTCTTTAATAGGCTTTTTCCAGGGTAGTCCGCCAGCGCTAGCTGTTCGCATACAGTTTCTGTTTAGGGAATAGGTGCCCATGACAAGGTGGTCTCACACCTTTTATAAGTAAGTGAGTAAGACAGCATAGGGAGAAGAGCCAAGGTGTGCGCAAGGGCTCCAGAATATTCCATGCTTAAATCTATACAATGTAAGATGAAATGTGCCAGATCAGACCAAGGCCCATCTCATTCAGTACTAGTTTCTAATAGTACCCAGCCAGATGAATTATGGGGACACCCACAACCAGAGCATGAAAGCAATCAGCCTTTTCCATTAGTTGCTCTTTGCCAAGGGTATTCAGTGGCATCATGCTCTCTAAACCTGCAGTTTCTGTTAAGCCACCATGGCTAGTAGCCACCAGTAGCCTTATTCTCCAGGAACTTGACTGAGGTCCTCTTCGAGCCAATTAAGCTACATCTT